TGAACTTCAAAGTGCTTGTAACCCCTCTCAGCTTGGAGTCCTCTGCAGATTTTTTAAGCATGCTCTGCACTCCACTATCCGAGTCACTAATGAAAATATTGAATAGTACAGGACGCTGGAATGACCCTGTGGGACTCCACTAGATATGTCCTCCGTGTTTGACAGTGAACCATTGATGACAACTCTTTGAGTATGATCTTTCAACTATTTTTGCACCTACTTATGGTAATTTCCTCTAGACCACATTTCCCTAGTTTGCTTATGAGCATGTCATGTGGAACTGTAATAAAAGCCCTACTAAAATCAAGTTATAGCACATCTATTGCTCCCCGCATTCACTAAGCCAGTAATCCTGTTAAAGAAGGAAATAGGTTGGTCTGGCATGATTTGTTCCTGACAAATTCATGTTGGCTATTCCTTATAACCCTGTCATCGACTAGGCACTTACAAATAGATTGTTTAATAATTTGTTCCAGTATCTTTCCAAGAATTTGAAGTTAGGTTGACTAGTCTATAATTCCTTGGGCCCTCTTCATTCACTTTCTTAGAGACAGGTTCTGTGTTTGCCCTGTCCTCCAGGAGTTCATGAAAATAATCACGAATGGTTCCAAAATTGCTACAGCTAATTCCTTAAGTACCTTAGGATGGATTTCATCAGGCCCTGCTGACTTGAATACGTCTAATTTACCTAAATATTCTTTAATCTGTTCTTTTGCTATTTTGGCTTGCATTCCTTCCTGCTCACTGTTAATATTAATTGTTAAGTATCTGGTCACAATTAACCTTTTTAGTGAAGACTGAAACAAAATAGGCATTAAACACCTCAGCCTTCTTGATGTCATCAATTAGCTCTCCTTCCCGACTAAGTAAATCTTCCCTTTCCTTCTTTCTGATTTTTGCCCCTATGTGCTTTCTGTTGTACTCCTGCTTAGCAATTTGTCCATATTTTCATTTTTTTTTTTGTAAATTTCCTTTTTGATTTTCAGGTCAATGAAGAGCTCCTGGTAGAGGCATATACTCTTACTATCTTTTCTTCATATTAGAATAGTTTGCTGTTTGCCTCTAATATTGTCCCTTTGAGAAGTTGCCAGCACTCCTAAACTACTTTTTCCCCTTATATCTTCTTCTCAGGAAAAGTCTGCTTTCTTGAAGTCCATTGTCCTTATCTTGCTGCTCTTACTCTTTCCTTTCCTTAGAATAAGAATATCTATCATTTCATGACAGGTTTCAGAGTGGTAACCTTGTTAGGATTCCTGGCTGTTGTGTGGGTTTTTTTGGTTGTTTGTTTGTTTTTTGTTTGTTTTTATTATTTCATGATCACTTTCACCCAAGTTGCCTTCAGCTTTCAGACTCACAACCAATTCCTCCCTATTAGTCAAGATTAAGTCTCACATGTCTGTGTGCTTGGTTACTTCCTCCATCTTCTGAAACAGAAAGTTGTCCCTAATATATTCCAAGAACTTGTTGGACGTTTTGTGTTTTGCTGTGTCTGGGTAGTTAAAGTTCCCCATTGTTACTAGGTCTTGTGTTTTGGATATTTCTGTTGTTTGTTGTAGAAATGCTTCCTCCACCATCTCCTCCTGATTTGGTGGTCTGATCTGCTCAGGGGTAGATGTCATACTTGGCATTATCGGTAGTGCCCATGTGGAGGAGCAGCATGAGGTAGTGGTCCGAGGGATGGATGAGCCTCAGCAACCTTTCTGTGATGTCTTGGATGCAGACTGCAGGCAGGCAGTACACCTCCCAGGATTTCAGGTCAGCAGATGGATGCCTCTGTCCCCCCTCAGAAGGGAGGCCCCGACCACCAGAACCCTATGGCTCCTCCTCTTGGGTGCAGTGGCCATGAGCCTCCCAGATGTGGGGGCAGGTGACTCCTCCTCAGTCATTGGGGTCTGCTTCTCTCCTCTTTTTGCCAGTACAGCATAGTGGTTCTTGACTGCAATGAACAGGGGATCTGGAGTGGGGTTGGGGGTGAAGCACTGTCTGGCTGCATGGCCACCTTGTGCAGCAATCTCCTTCTTGCACAGCAGTCGGTTCTCCTTTCTTCTCTGGTGCTTCTGTAGTTGGCCTGGATGACTTCATGTACATCTTGTCGATGAAGTCCTCATGGTCCCAGATGCTATGCAGATGAGCCATGTCCTCCTGCAGCTCTCTTACCTGCTTCCTCAAGGACACCAGCAACAGACCTCTCACATGAGGTGGTTCTCCCTGCCTCATTTTCTTCAGGGACATGCAGGCTGCGTTCCCAGGAAGTCAAGACTTGGACCTCGGTAGAAGCCCCCAGGTCAGATTGCCTGTCTGGCCAGGGCCAGCGCAGGTGCAGGCAGAGGAAGAGCTGGTAGTGGTGTTGGTGATGTGCCATTTTTCTCCCATTGTGGGTTCTTCCTTGTAAAGTATCTGCATTCCTCCTCTAACTGGTCTTAAATGAGTGTGTGACCCATAATTCCATGGCAGATCTGTGGTGTGACAGAGGGGAAGGAAGCAGAGGAGAGAGTTGAGGTTAAGGATGAGGACAAGCAAGAGGATGAGCATAAGGGGCAAGGGATTGTATGTGGTTACTGGGACAGATGGAGATGCAAGCTTCCTGAACCCTGTGGGGATGGTTTTGTTGGGACTGTCATCCACTAAGGGTTACTTGGAGACCACCACATCCCTATTCATTTGTGATCTATTCTAACCCATAAACAAACCACAGGGCTGCAAAAGTGAAAGAACATTGTATTAGTCTCTCAACTACTAAACTCTCCTACAACTGCTGTGCTTCCATGACACACACTGCTTAGTTCTTCGAGTTCAGTACTCTTTGGCTGAAGAATCTCGCATATTAAGCCACATTGAAATGATTAACCTAGTCCTTCACCTGGTTCCCTCTCCTCTGTCTGTATAAATTATAATGGCTAGACCATACCTTATCCTGCTGTTGATGGCAGTGGCAAAACTCCCATAGCTACAAGGGAGCAGGATTGGGCCCTACACGTTCAGCTCAGAGCAAATTTGGTTCTGAGTTACACACTGCCCAGAACCAGACTTACGATGGAAATGAATGTCCCATCACAACTGTGGCTCTTGTGTCACAAACCATGGTCTACAGGTTATAAACAGCTCTGCCAAGTCTCACAAATCTGGGGCAGAGCCTCTCTCACAAGTGGGGATTAATTTTAAGGCTCTTTCAATCTGATGATGAAGGATTTTGCTTGCACCTAGTTTCTACAAGGGGCTTAAATTTTCCTATGTCATTCCCTCCCTCCTTCATGTCTTATTTATGCAAATTGCCATAACTCCAGACAGATTGGTACTTGTCTCTTGGTTCAATGAGTGGGATGAATAGCTACAGGTATATCATTGTCATCTTCTGAGCAGAGGGTTATATGGGAGTATGTGGATATTTTAATGAGAGAATATTGTGGGGCTAGTTTATATTTTACCAACATATACTAGTAACCCCTGGCCCCCCAGGCACTGAGCTGGCCTCTCAGACAACACAGTGCTACAGTTTAAATCTTACGTCATGTAGTTACTTGCAGTGCATTGGCATGATTAGGGGCTTGGTTTTCAGCGGTGGTGGTAGCTGTACTGCTGCTTGTGATCCTCAGCTGGGTAGTAGAGAGTGCTTCAGTAAGCAAGAGGTGCACTGTGCATGCTCACCCGGCAGCATGGCAAGCTCATTGACAGCTGAGCAGGGAGCAGCCGATGCCTTCTCTTGCCAGGTATTTCCCACTTTGCATGGCTTTCTGAATTTATTTTTGGGGGCAAGAGAGAAACAGGGAGAAAGCATCTGATCCAAGGGAGAGAACTTAACTTCCCCTCCTCCTGGCCCTTAAACATTCCAGCATTGCTATCCCCCTCCCCCAGATGATTCTAGCACAAAATCCCTTTTTCACCTAATTGTTCTATAATTTAACCTCCTCCTCCCCATACCACATTCATTCTAGCACTGAAGCCTCTTAATGCCCGTTCCCTCCCGTCCATCCTCCTGTGCATTCTACTGATATTCCCTCATCCACCCTCCTGTATATTCAGCACCGTAGCCTTCCGAGTGCCCATCCCCCAAATATTCCATCCCTGTGATCCCTGCCCGCAAAGCCTTCCTGCATCCCTTAATCCTTCCAGCACTGTCTTGGAAAGTCCTGATTAGCTCCAATGATCAAAGCCAGAAAGACATGTCAGATTCCCCGCTCCTCTTTACCCAGGTGCCGCTGTGTGTAATGTGCGTTTCATGTCTGCGACCAGAATGCTGTAGAACTGGCAGGGAGAGGATGCTAAGAAAGCAACATGGAAGCTGCTTTGAGGACATGGGATGCTTCTGCTAGATGATTTGCTTTCGTGGGTCATGCACCTGTCGGCTTACTCTTCTGATTTGCACTATCCCTCCCCTTTCCTTCAATTGCTGGCTAATATAATCCCACTCGTTTGTGGAGCACTTAAAAGACACAAAATGGCTATAAGAGAAATATGGTATAGATTCATGACTAATTTTGTTTTTGTGGATGTTCATTCATTACCGCTTATCTCATTCAATTAAGGAAGTATGGTTTGGAGTAAATGTTTCCTCCCTCTCTCCCGTCCCTTCCCCTGCCAAGTCATTTTCACTGAATAAAGGCACAGGGGAAACTACAAGGCTGAGGTGTCTGCCTCTAAAGGGGATTCAGTGACCTGATATAATTGTGTAAAATCCCAGAGTATTTATTCAGCTTTAAGTGAAACAATTGCACTTTTGTTCTCGGATTGTGACCCTGAGACATATAAGGCTAATGTGGGATTTAACCAGTCTTGCTAAAGCCCAGAAATGCAGTTGTATTAAATCACTCAATTGAAAGAAAAATAAAAAACAAAAAACAAAACAGGAGGATGGTGGAAAATACAGTGCCTAATATTCTTATTCTGATCAAGTGATGATGAAGCCTGATTTGATTTTGTCATGCAAAGTATTAATTGACTAGGTATTTGCCTCTTTGCAACATGCATTTAATTTGGTATCTCCTGCTTTTTATTTCTTGCAGGGCTGTCAGAATGAGTGCCCAGCTGGAGGATGTACAGGGGGAGCCACAAAGCAAGCGAGTGAATCTTTCAAGGTAAGTTGTTTGCAAAATGATAGGTGCCTGAAACATTTCAGACGCAGTGAGAGACAGTGATCTGGAGATGTTTATGATCATTGTGCATGACGCTGGGTTTATGGACATGTTTGATCATCATAATGCTGGACATAAGTGTTTCATGCTGACAGCATTTGAACATAATGCATTAACCCCTGTAGAAATTAGAGCATTCCAAAAAAACCACCCACATTTGTTCCTTATTGCAGTGAGGAAAGAATAAGCAACTGCTATCTTTTGTGATCAGCTGCTTGGGATACGAGAAAGGAAGAAGTTGGATGCCTCTTAAATATCATGTTTACAAATCTGAGGATTTGGCCAAGTGGATTTTGCTGGGCCATTAATGTTGATTTTTCAATAAGTCTTGGAGCACTGGGGAAGTTTCAGAAGACTGGGGGGCAAAGCTAATGTCATGCCAATTTTCCAATAGGGTAAATGGGGATGACCCAGGTAATTTTAGGTCTGTCAGCCTGACCTTGATCTCATGCAAGATAATGGAGTGGCTAATACAGCACTCAATTAATAAAGAACTAAAAGAGGGTAATGTAATGAATACAAATCAACATGGGTGTATAGAAAAATAGATCTTAACTTGATGGGTTTTTTTTATGAGATTATAAATTTGATTGATAAAGGTAACAGTGTAGACATAATCTACTTAGACTTCTGTAAGGCGTTTGACTTGGTATCACAACATTTTGATAACAAAATTAGAACAATATAAATAACATGTCACACATTAATAGGATTAAAAACTGGGTAACTAATAGGTCTTAAAATGTAACTGTAACCGGGAATTTTCATTGAGTGGATCTGTGTCCAGTGGGATCCCACAGGGTTCTTGGCTGTACACTATTTAACATCTTTATCAGTAACCTGGAAAAAAAACATAAAACCATCACTAATAAAGTTTGCAGATGACCCAAAAATTGGGGAAGTGGTAAATAATGAAGAGGACAGGTCAGTGATTCAGAGTGATCTAGATCGCTCAGTAAACTGGATGCAAGCAAGCAATATGAGTTTTAATACTGCTAAATGTATACATCTGGGAACAAAGAATGTAGGCCATATTTACAGGATGGGGAACTTTATCCTGGGAAGTAGTGACTCTGAAAAGGTTTTGGAAGTAATAGTGGATAATCAGCTGAACATGAATTCCCAGTGTGACACTGTGGCCAAAAGAGCTAATGCGATTCAGGGATGCATAAACAGGAGAATCTCAAGCAGGAGTAACGAGGTTATTTTTCCTTTATTTTTGACACTGATGCAACCACTGCTGGAATACTATGTCCAGTTCTGATGCTCACAATTCAAGAAAGATGTTGATAAACTGGAGAGGGTTCATAAAAGAGCTACGAGAATGATTAAAGGATTAGAAAATATGCTTTATAGTGATAGATTGAGCTCTTTGAGTCTATTTAGCTTAACAAAGAGAAGTGTAAAGGGTGACTTGATTACAGTTTGTAGGTGTCTATATGAGGAATAAATATTTGATAAAGGGCTCTTCAGTCTAGCACAGTGGTTTTCAAACTTTTTTTTTTCTGGCGACCCAGTTGAAGAAAATTGTTGATGTCCGCAACCCAACGGAGCTGGGGATGAAGGGTTTGGGATGTGGGAGGGGCTCAGAATTGGGACAGAGGGTTGAGGTGTGGGGGTGAGGGCTGCAGCCGGGAATGAGGGGTTCAGGGTGTGGGAGGGGGCTCTGGGCTGGGGCAGGGGGTTGGGATATGGGAGTGGGTCAGGGCTCTGAGCTAGGGGTGCAGGCTCTGGGCTGGGGCCATGGATGAGGAGGTTGGGGTGCAGGAAGGGGCCCTGGGTTTGGGGGGCTCAGGGATGGGGCAGGAAATTGGGGCGCGGGCTTACCTTGGACAGCTCCCGGTCAATGGCGAACCAGTCAATGGGAGTGCAGAGCCAGTGCTTGGGGCGGGGGTAGCGCATGGAGTCCCGTGGCCCCCCTGCCTAGGAGCCGGACCTACTGCTGGCCGCTTCCGGGGTGCAGCATGGTGTTGGAACAGGTAGCGACTTCTAATGGCCCAGTCGGCGGTGCTGACCAGAACCACTGTAACCCAGTGCCCTACATTCCACGACCCAGCACTCGGTCACGACCCACGAAAACCACTCATCTAGCAGAGAATGGTATAACCCATTTGAATGGCTGGAAGTTGAAGCTAGACAAATTCAGACTGGATATTAGGTGTAAATTTATAACAGTGAGTGTAATTAACCATTACCAAGGGTCATGGTAGAGTCTTCACTGACAATTTTTAACTTGAGAGGTTGCTTTTCTAAAGGATATGCTCTAGGAATTATTTTGGGGAAGTTCTATGGCCTGTATTATACAGGACGTCAGACTAGATGATCACAATGGTCCTTTCTGGCCTTGGAATCTATGAAATCAATCTGATTATTTGAACCAATTTCCAGTTGCCTGCTTACAGCTGAGGTCCAGTATAAGCATGGAAGATGGACAATTCTCTGCTACACTCCAACTGGTGAAGCTTCTGATGAAGGCAAGACAGTTCTATAATTAATTCTTTCACCTATCTCGAATTATGACATCGTCACTCTCCTTGGTGACTTTAAAGTTCTAGTGGCACGTGGAAATTGTTACTGTACCAGTTACTCCAGATACCTTAAACATCAATGGCGAATGTCTTTTACAGTTGTGTGTTTCTAATGAGTTTGTCATTATGAACACCTGGTTTCTTAGGAAAGGAATTCACCAGTTTACTTGGTCAAGTAACAAAGTCCGAACAAAGAAAATGATTGATTAGAATGTAATCTGTTGTTGTTGAAGATCATCCATCAGCAACTGTAGAATTTATTGGTCTGCCAAGCTTAGTAACACCAATCACAAAATATTCTCTGCACATTTCCATCTTAGACTAAAAAGTGCAGGCAAAGTGACGAGCGGATCACCAAAATTTGAATTACCCAACTTCGAAACTGATGGTTTTCAAAACTACTAAACAGTTGAAATCTTGAATAGGTCTGAGACCCTACCAGAGTATACTGATGCTGAAACCACCTGGATGGACTGGATCTCCTTTAATACTTTAGCTATCACGGAACAGTTGCGTATGGCTCATTTGATAGGTTATACGGTCATGTATTGTAAGCTAGATGGCATTCGTAACAAAGCAATACATGGTGACTGCAAAGCTTTTATGGAAGCCAGAGCCATCGCACTTGAGAAAGCGTCTGCCAGGAATGATTTTGCCTCCTTTTATAAAACACTTTTGTGACCTCACTAACAAGAGAGACCGTACCAAGTGAATGACCTACTCCCATTTCAGGTCAGCTAATTGTTACAGAAGCAGAGTAAATGGCATGCTGGAGTGAACGTTTCAGCCAGCTGTGAAATGCACCCCCAATTTCTTTGGACCCTGACATTAAGGCCACTGCTGAGTTGACTCATTCCTCACAAAATCATCCTGGCAAATTCACTATTGATGACATCCACAGAGATGTAAAGAAAGCTAAGGGAAATAAGGCACCTGGAATCTGTGGAATTCTTGCAAAACTCTTAAAAAGTGCTGGACTGGCTATTTTTTGTGTGAATGCGATGCTGTTCAGCATCATCTGGAGAGTCGGTCCTGTCCCACTGGCAAAAAAGAATTTTTATTACTTTGGAAATGTAAAGGCAGCAAACGAGACTCTTGTAACTATTGTGGCATTACTCGTCTGTCCATACCAGGGAAAGTTTTTTGCTTCTGCTTTGTTGGCCCAAGCCAGTGATATCTTAAGAAGCAAGAGAAGACCACAAGAAGCTGGCTTCAATTCCAGCTATTCCGCCGTGGAGAAAATCGTCACAGTCCATAGCTTAGCAAGAAGGCAAGAGAAGTCAAGCAGGCCCTTCAAATTGTATTCATGGATATCAAGGCTGCCTTTGACTCTGTTAACAGGGAATCTCTTTGGCTGAAACTCAGAGCCATTCCTGACAAGCTCTGAAGAATTTTCTGTCTCTTATATAAGATGACTCCTCAAGCTGCTTTCTTGTAAATGGGAAAGGATTGCCTTCTTCCAAATTAGGTTGGGCATTCAACAAGGATGCGTTGCTGCCCCAGAACGCTTCCATGCTATCATAGACTCTGGGCTTGAATGGACACTAAATACATGCATTTTAGGTATACTGCATGATGATGATAACCTCATTGACACTGATTTTGCTGATAAC